TAACAAGTGGTTTTTGGCCAGTTGTCCCTTTTTTAGAAAAGGGACAGCCCGAAAAGAGACAGCGTAACAAGTGGCCTAAAGACTCAGCCTGACACGAGTTTAATTTGAAGAAAAACAACACCAACAACAAGACGCCGTCTTCACCTTTGGTGTGGGGTAAGATGCACTCGATGCACTCAACGAGCCCTTAGCACCATGGCCACCAGCACCAGTCCGACGCTTCTTCGTCGTGCGTGGAGGACCTGAAGCCGTCGCGCCGCCGGCCGCTCCGCCGCCTGCGGGGTGGCTGATGGTGTGGTTGCACGCTTCCTACCAGCTGCTGCTGCTGGGGTGTTTGGTGTACTGCCGTGGGATTTTGGGCGGGAGGACGGGAGGAGGCGCAATATTTCTCGACGCCCTTTTCGACCTCGATGCTCTATCTTTGCCATCGGGAGGGTCCAAGTGCCTCACGCTTTCGTCGTGGCCGGCGTTAGGGCTCATGGTCCTGTAGAGGGGTGAGGTGATGGTCCCTCGAGAAGGCGAACTGCCGGTTATTTGGGTGTGTTGAGTGCTGGCAATCACCCCTACCCCCTACCCGCAAGTCAAGGATTTTATTTTTTTTTTTTCCAAATACAACACAACGAGTCCATCTATTTTATGGAAATGCTGGGCGGGTGCGCGTGGTGCGGAGGGAACAATTGCGCCGCGTCTGCTGCTGTGTGATCTTGCCTCGTCGCCTCGTCTTTCCAGCGCCCCACAGCCGTGGACATCGCCTACCTGTGAGTATATGCCCGGCCCCAAGGAATCATCATGCCTTTTCAATGTCTGTATTGCTTTGAGACCTTCATCCAGCGTCGACTTTTGGTTCGTCATTTCGAAGTAGCCCAGGTACGCGGCGAAACACCCAGAAAACGCGATGGGTCGAGGCAGCGAATCGCGCCGGTCTGCCCTTGCGACAGGCCAACGCGATGACTTTGTCCCAATTCATGGGCAAGTGCGGGATGGGTAGCAACCATGATGAGGACACCAGAACAGATGCTGGGCGTGGCGGCGCCGCATCCGGAGCCAGCTCGTTTAAAGGAGATGGTGTGGTGGCCGAGGTCGAAGATAGCGCTGACGATGACAGCCACTTTTGAAGCAACAGCGGCGCCGCCGGCGGGTTAGAGTTAGGAGCGGAGAGCAAGGTGGATAGCGACGGTTATGATTCTCAGAGATCAATGGAAGAGGGGTCGCTTTGTGACGAATGCTATGAAAGTTACGAGCCCTGGGCCCGATACTGCAGCAGCGATGGTGGTGCTGATGCGACCGAGTTGGCGTCTAAAGGATCTGCAATGGATGAAGGTGACGACGGCAGCGGTGCTGGTAGAAGTGACGACGACAGCGACAACGACAGCGAACACGGCGACGAAGGACACGTCCCTGAACGTTTGCCATGCGGTGGGGCACCATCGTCAAGTCAACCTCTCGAGCATCGCAACCCGCCGCCGGACGATCACGCGACATGGTTGCAGAACACCCATCGACGCGTGGGGTTGAGGTTGGGAGGTTTCATCATGGAAGGTGGCGCAGGAGGAACGAAACTTCGTCAGTTCGGCGACAAGAATCAGGACCACCGGCCGTTCTGGAATCTGACTACGCTGTTGCTCGGGGTGTTCGCACTCAAGCACCAAATCTCTCGGGCAGGGATGACGGATCTCTTTACCATCCTACGCTTCGTGGACGGAGTACAAGGCGACGGTGGCGGAGACGGCAGGAAGTTCGAGACAGCCGACGTACCAAACAGCGGAGAGCACTTCGTGTCGCGGATGCGCCAATACCTACCGCTGTTTGAGGTATGGGTGCGAGATGCCTGGTTTAAACCCTCCAAGAAGGACCCTGCCGCACGGACCAAGGGTAAGGTGGACGACATCCCAATCGCACATGTCATGGCCTTTCTTTTGAAGTCACCAGCATTCATGGAGGAGATGCTTGGCAACCCCGGCGGTGCCGTCGTGGATGAGGAGGAGAGTAGGGGCATTGGTTTGTCGAGCCAACACATTTTCCCCGTGCCGACATGCCCCATCGGCAACGCCCGCCGGAACTGGATGCACGGGACCATCGTTCAAGGGCAGCCACACCTCAACGCCGACGGCTTCCTCAGTCTGGGAGGCAACAGAATCTACGTGGGGGAGCTCGTCATGTGTGATCTACGAGAGCCACGTGCGGACACCCCACTGCAGGTGCCGTGCCGGGTAGTAAGGTGTTACTTCGACGAAGAGACGAGGAGGCTGGTGGTGGGTGTACGGTGCTTCCGGAATGCGAACGAGGTGCTCGGGTTACCATACGAGCACGCCGGCTTCGTTCAGCAAGCGGGACTCGGGCGTGTTTGGGAGGAGGTGGGACCGGCATCCGAGGTTACGCTGATCGACATCGGGCTGGTGCTCGACCGTATCGAGGTGTTCTCCAGCGCCGATATCGTAGACGGAGCTCACCAGAGGCCTTGGATCGGGGATGGTGAGCGCCGGCATGGTTGGTTCTTTTTCGGCGAGGGCTTCGTCGAACGCAAGGGTAATAAGTTCAAAACAAGGTTGGGGCACGGGCGAAAGAAGGGCTGGTCACGCGCTGGAGGCGAAGACGAGAATTACCCGGACATGCGTCGCCCTGGGGTCATCCGCAACACCCACAGGCTCAAGTACCTCAGCCTCCTTGCCGGCGTCTGGGTGGACGATTTCAACGTCTTCAGCATAACGAACCCCGTAGGTGTGTACAGCTTCGGTGTTGTTTTTTGTTTCGACTGAACCGGTCGCCCCGGTGGTCTAGTGGTATCTTCGAAACCCGCTACTCTCGGAAGTCGTGAGTTCGAATCCCTATGGAGTAAATATTTGCAAATTTTGCAAGTGAAAGCGACACATGTAGCTGAAAAATCTCCCGAAAGACCCCAACGTAGCACCGTCGACGAGTGAAAGGGGTGGCTGGACCATTCTCGCGAAAAACAACTTTTGAGGAGGAAGGTGGGGCACGAAAGAAAATAAATAAAAGAAGAAAGAAGCACCGGTGTGTACCTCCCCTCCTGTGTGACGCTGGATGCTCGTAGATGTACGAAAAAATAAACTGACAAGTGTAGTACACGTCTCAACACGAAAAATGGGAGGACTGTCGCCAACATAAGTAGGACGAAAACACACACACACACGTATCATTTCTGGAAATATGGACGGCGAGACACTCGTTTCACCTTTCTTCAAATTTGGGCGCCTCGCTCGAGTCTATATTGTCGGCGTTGGCGCTTTGTTTTAGCGTCCCGCTAAATTCTATTTTGTCGGCTTTGACGCTACTGTGCCGTTCGCCACGAACTGCGTTTTTACATCGCTGCTTTAGACAAAGGGTGTGCTCCGCTGCCGTGCTTCTATGAAGGCCTAGTTTTTCCTTTTCGGAAGGTAGATGTATTTTGTACGTCTTCGTCTCGCCTGGTCGCGCCTCGAATGATTTCCTGTTTGCTTTCTCCCTGTCCGTCACATCGCAGCACCCCGAGGGAGCGTCGTACTGGCAGATCCAGACTCTCGACCGTCGATTGCAGCGGCTGAAGCGGTACCTCTTCCCGACGACGATGGCAGAAGCTGGCGTGAGCCACGACGGAGCGATGGCATTTGCTGCCGGAGTGCTCCGGGAGCTCGAGAAAGGCTGTTTCGCTACAATTTTGGAACCACATGACGAACACTCTACCACGACGACGGTGAGAGGACTTTGACGTCGTAGACACCTCAACATATCTCACTCGTTGAGTTCCAATTTTCTTCAGCATTGTACATGCCAGTCCACGGCGAGGGCCTCGTTTGAGACCAGGCTATCCTCATGGTAAAGCAACCGAAACAATCGCCCTTTGTTTTTTTTTGGTGTGGGTAGTAGGGACTCTTGGAATATTATCCTCCCCTCCTTTTCGGGCTGGGGGGCCTCCCCCCCCCCACCCCGTGTGACACCTCTGCGCCACATCTCGGCTTCTCTCTCTCTCTCTCTCTCTCTCTCTCTCTCTCTTGTTTATTGTGTTGGGGGGCAAGGAAAATAAACGGGATAAACACGACTGACTGTTGTTTCCAAGAATAGCACGTACGCATGACCGCGTACCTACGCGTCGGGGGCGCTGTTGTCAACGTTGATTTTTTTTTGGCCGTTGTGTTTTCCTTCAGTGTGCAATCCACTGCACTCCTGGCCGGGAGTGCGTTCCCGTGGAATTGAAGGTGCGTTGTGACCCAGTATCTGGATTATTACTTGACGGTAGGACAGCATGCGAACTACTGGTGCTTGCTGTTGTAGTCTACAGCAGCACACGAGAGCAGTACCAGCAGCTTGTGTAGCGGCTTGAACTCTTCTATTTTCATGTCTCCTCTGTGCTGTGCACGAGCTTCAGACGTGTGAACGTAAAGAGAGAATCCTCGCACAGCAGTCGTGTGTACCACAACATTTTCCAGGACCTGTACCTACTGCTGTACGGCCTCCATGAGGGCAATCCCCTCGTGCTCGTGTCCCTGCAACCGCAAATGACACAAGATACCATACCCCCTGGACCGATTTTCAAAGGTCGATTTCTCAACTGCAAAAGGAGTCAGACCCGAAAACGGCGCCGTAGAGCCCTCTCGCCGAGAGCTTTCCGAAATTGCATCGTTTCGTTCATGCATCCTCTTGGTCGTGGAGTAATCGAGCTTTGAAAATCGGTCCAGGAGGTGTGGTATCGTCTGTCATTAACGGTACGGTTTAGTGTTGCCGGGGTGCGAGTACCAGACTTGTCGATTTCCCCGCTCCGTCGTTGCAGCAGTGGAACTGTGTTGTATTTTTTTGCGTTGACATGCCCTTGTACTGCTCCTCGCGCAGCACGCAGAAGTCGTACCATGTTTGTGTGTGTACTCCGCAGGATACGAATCTCCGAGATCTCCGGGGGTTACGCAGATAGATATTGTACATGATGGGTGTGATGGACTTGACGCGTAGGCTCTGCTTGCCTGCCCATGTCTCTCACTCGTTAATAGTTAATCAAGGAACTTGAGTCACTCCTTTGTGCAACACGCTCTCGACAAGAGCCCGCGAGCGTGATAACATAGTACACGCGCCGACACCCCAAACACGATATCGTGGAGTCAGCTGACGTCGGTAGGGAAAGGTTCGGGAGGTAGGCACCGGAACACAAGGGCAGCAGCAGCGGGCGGTTTTTGCCCGCGCGCGCCAAGGAGATCCAGGGAACAGGGTTTGGAATACGAGGGCAGCAGCAGCAGGGCGGTTTTTCCCCGCGCGTGCCAAGGAGATCCAGGGTAAGCTTGTGGAATACAAGGACAGCAGCAGCAGGGCGGTTTTTGCCGGCGCGCGTCCAGGAAATCCAGTTATTAGAACAAGAAGCAATTTTAGTTTAGACATGGAAGGCGAGGAGAAAGACAAGAAGCAGAAGAAGGAGTTGGAGCTGGGTCTGGCTGAGGCGAAGGCGGAGATAGCAAAGCTGAAACAGGCCCACAAAGAGGTGGAGGAAGAATGGAAGAAAGAAGCGGCTATGCATAGGGCCACTGCTGCAGATGCGGCGCGTGCAGCTGCAGACGCGGCCCGTACAGGGCCCTCTGGTGGAGGATCAGGACCCGGGTATCAAACGGTGAGCATGGCAGACGGCGGTAGCCAGTTGATGAGCGGTCGTTTTGGCACTCGAAACCCGCCGAAGCACCCGAACGAACCGGGGAAGTTTATGAGCTGGTCACGGAGGATGCGGACTTTCCTCGCTGTAGAAGGTCTGGAACAAACCCTTGATCACCAACCCCCTACTGGCTACGTCCACATCATCGGCTGTCCGGATCGCAACTACCTAAAACGTATTCATCGAGCGCCGCTGGTGACAGCACACTTGCGGGCGTGGGGGTACCTTGTGGAANCCCGGGGAAGTTTACGAGCTGGTCACGGAGGATGCGGACTTTCCTCGCTGTAGAAGGCCTGGAACAAACCCTTGATCACCAACCCCCTACTGGCTACGTCCACATCATCGGCTGTCCGGATCGCAACTACCTAAACCGCATTCATGGAGCGCCGCTGGTGACAGCACACTTGCGGGCGTGGGGGTACCTTGTGGAATCAACTAGCGGTTCGGACATCGAAGAAACGCTGTTTGCGTGTAGCTGCGTGCCGGAGGCGTGGACCGCTATCCGTGAATGGTCTTTGCCCACTACTGATGCTGAGCAGAGACTGCTTGAGCGACAGTTGGAGACTGTTGAGATGTCCCCTGGCGAAAACCCGAAGCTTTTCTTCGCCAGAGTCGACGGTATCGTCAACACCATGCGAGCTGTCGGCATTGAAAAATCCGAACGGCAAGTTGTGCAAACAATTGTCCGCCAGCTTTCGTCTGATTACGATGTCGAACGCAAGGCCACCCTATCCGATTCCAACATCTCTCGTGCGGGAGTTGAAAGCATTGTTCGCAAGGCGTACGCTAACATTGTTGCCAAGCAGCTTGAGAAGGTGAAAGTGTCTCCGTCGACGTCGGTGCAGCCGGGCCACGATCCTCACGCGCTTGCTGTTAGTGGTTTTAGGTCCGGCGGCAGCGGCGGCGGTAGCAGCGGCAACGGCGGTAGCGGTGGCGGTGGCAACGGCGGTAANACATTGTTGCCAAGCAGCTGGAGAAGGTGAAAGTGTCTCCGTCGACGTCGGTGCAGCCGGGCCACGATCCTCACGCGCTTGCTGTTAGTGGTTAGTGGTTCGGTCCGGCGGCAGCGGCGGCGGTAGCAGCGGCAACGGCGGTAGCGGTGGCGG